CCTCCCCTTTAGATTAATAACTATCATTTTTATTGTACACAAACTGAAGTAAATCTGAAGTCTGAAAATATATTTTTCCAAAGTTAAATAATTCAGTGAGTGAAACCAGTGTTTACTTATGGGTTGGTTTGGGTTTGTTGGGTTTTTTTTTTTTGCTTGTTTCTTTGTTTTGTTTTTTTTTTTTGTGGGTTTTTTTTTGCTTTTTCTTTGTTTTTTTTTTTTCCAATTAACAGTGACATGCCTCTTGTAATGCCTTGACAAGAAATTTTTTTCTGAAAAGAAAGTGGTTACTTCATGCTTATTTTTGTATGTACAGAACACAAATTATAATAGAAGTTATTTTTTATTTTATAGCCTGTTCCTTAATGTAAGCTTTTAGTATAAAAAGTAGGAAATAAAGTCCTAATTCCTGATTTGTAGTATCAGACAAGTGAACTTTATAAACACATGCTAAAATGTAGAGCAGGATATTTCCCTGCCAATCCCAAATTACAACATTTCATACATGTTGTTTTTCAATGTACAAAACTGTCTTTTACTCAACATTGGTATTTTTTTTGGCACTGAGCTTATGAAGATATAAACTGGTTTTCAACAAAACTGAAGAATACATAGAACACTACACAACTTATTTTAAACAGAACTGCAAAGATTCTCATAAACTTGCATACCACACTAGCAAACACAATGTAATGAAAAACTCTGCACCAGGTGAATAAACAACTATGTAACGTACCATTAGATGTCAACAGAGAACCCAAAAGAGAATCCCACAAGAACAGGGAAAAAAATATAAATTTGCAAAAAAATATCCAACAGCAAATTCCGAGGATTTGGTTGTGAAATTTGAAATTACTGGTTAGACAATACAACACAAATCAAAGATATAAGAGTATATACAGTTCTGGTAGTTTTGGTGATGTGTAATGTTAATAATTAATTTATTATGATGTTTGCTTTGGTATGGCCAGAATATTAAATCTTTCCTCTCTTCATTACCGAAATCTACTAATTCCTTGCTCGTATATTGTGTCTACCAGAACTTCTGATGATAAAGACTTCACTGTTTTCAAAAAGAGCATTTTTCATGTCATAAACCTAAGCATTTCTATTCTGTTTATAGTTATTGATTTGGTTTTATTAGGTTTTAAAGTCAACTAAGTATCAAGCTAAAACAATTTATTTGTACTGCCTTTGATTTTCACAAGCATGCCTATGCACAAGAAACAGCTACATAAACAATCAGTTGTCAGTCTCCCCTACAGTGGCCTGATAACCAGTTCCAAGCAGGGTAAAATCGCCCCACTAGTTCTAAAGCTATGCAGTCATTGTTCAGTTTATTGTTGTATCAATACAAGATAAAACCTGCAAATGTGCCTTCAAGAAGTACTAAACCACGACAATAATGATTTCAGTGAAACCAGGTAAATAAGAATTACTTCACTTGAGCTGTCACATACCAGGAAGAATACATTTTCTCCAAAATACCAGGTAATTTTTTTTATTTTTTATTTTTTAAATGCATGATGGTGAAACCAAATGGAGACATATAACTCCTTAGTCTTATTTTAATTATGGCCTCTTAACATAACTAAACTGCAACACTTGCTGCTACAGTTTTAAAGAAAATCAAGACTACAGATTTAAGTGAGTAGCTACCCATCTGTAGTGCCACTGAAGCTGCAACCTGAATTTTGGTAACAGAATCTTTCTGCAAATACAGGAACTGTACTTTCCTCCTTTTGGCTTATTTAACTAGTCACACATAAGTATTAATTCATCCAAATGTAACTAACCAGTATAAAACTGATATTACAGTAAAGCTGATGCTTCTGTTAAATATGTTCCACAGTAAAATGCTTATTTTTTCATGATTACAAAGTTTTATCCTTCTCTGACACTTATTAAGACTCTAAACGAACGGCTCTGACAAACAGAAACATTGCTTAAGTGATCTGCAGCAACAAACTGGGTGAAGAGCATTTAAATGTTGATGGCACTCTTAAACTACGCATTATTTACTCATGACTCCAAAGATCTTCCAAACAACCTTCGTGCGAATTTACAATCAGTAGCCATTTCTACAGTACACACAGAACATGACTTCACATGTCAGTAAATCTGCTTCTCCATAGTAATGTTACTCTTTTGCACTACACAGAATGCCAGTATCAGAGCAGGTCTATGAAGCAATCATGGAGTGCAGTGAGTCCAGCATGTTCAGGCAATGCAATACCTATGTAGCAATTAAGCTCCTGGAAGCAATCTAACCATGTTCACAAGTGGTGAACTGAAACTTGCAAAATCTGGTGCTCAGTGGTAAGAAGTGGTGAATAGTCAAGGCAAATAGCCATGTTAATACAGCTTCTGATTTAAAGTTAGTTTAGTGTTTAATGAGTTCATATCACCTAATCCAAAAGCTTACTGATGCCTGAAGTGGCAAACCCATTCCCTGTTTCCTGTAGAAAACCCATCTATTTTCAGAACAGATAAATTCACTCTCTCTTCTAACTATTCTTGGATCCTACTGATATCCCTAAATTTAGCAACCATTTACTGGGTTAAGTGTATCTTTATTAAAACCACATGAGATGATACAAAGAAATATTTTATATATCGTTAGTATTAACTTATTTTTGTTTAATCTCTGTCTTTGCCACTGTTTTTTTTTACCCGTACTTCAAGCATTTAGGAAGATATTTTTCCCCTACTTTCCTTCCCTTTTTCTGGAGCAGGAGATAATACCTCTCCTTCCATTCCCTGGTATTTTTAAACCTTTGCTGCAGTTGAGATTATCTGAAGATCTATGTGAAGCAAGACTTACAAAAGGAGATAATGAAGTGGATTTTTCACATCAACTAGTTGATATAGCAGGGGGGAAGGATTTCTGGGCAGATTCTCCAGCTCTGAGGCAGAAGCAGCAAACCTCAAGTAAGAGCAGGCCAAGAACAATTTCTTCATAAGACTATCTGAATGTCATGGACCTCTGTTCTTCCTCTTCAACTTTGCCAAGTACCAATTATCTATCCTCTTCTCTCCAGCCACATAAATGACTACTGAAATAAACTCAAGATATAATTCCTATTTAAATACACTATCTTTCAGCAGCAAAAGAGGTTTTTCAAGTTTCTAACAAATTCTAGTTACTTTTTCTTTCTCTTAGGCAAGTTTGCCATGACCTTAACTGCTCCAGAAAAACTGCTTACAAAGCAAGGCTGAGTGGTAACTACTCAGATTAACAAAAAAAAAGTATTTTTAGGAAATTGTTTTGTGCAAATTCAGACATCTTACCCTGATAAAAGTTACAGCAAGACTATTAATAGACAAATGTACAGGTAATCATGGGTTTTTAAACAGGCTCAAGGACAAGAAAGGAACTATGGTAAATTGGCACTGTCACAGACAAATTTCGGACCTGTTATTCTTAAACTGTATTTAGCATGATGTTTGATTCTTCTACCTCAAACTCAAAGAAAATCCTGGTATAAAACCTGGTTCTTTCCCCCATTTCTCCCCATCTAGTTAAATATTTTTTCTTTAAATAAATCTATTTGCTCCACATACGAGCATTTTCCCTGCTTTGAAGACTACATAACCCTTTGCACAGAATTAAGTACATCCTCAGGAATAAACCTCTTAGTCCATTTTTGAAAGGCCCTATAGTATCCAGTCGGGCTGTGTAAAAATGGTATGAAACATTCATATAGGGATATCTATGGGGAAGTTTTGTGTCACCTGTCCTTGCCGTGAACGTCTCTAACTCACATGCAATTATTTAGCTTTATCATATTAACATATGAGTTAGCACTGAGCCTTAATATTAAGGGTTCTTCCTTTTAGTTTTTTTTTCATGACAGCGGCACCATTTGTGTTCTATCTCCAGAAAGAACATTTTTCATATTGAAAGTGCATATCAGAGGCTTATATTCAATGTACAAAGATAAGCCTTGGGTTAGCACCTCATTTCTGAAAGTAACTAAGTAATTAAGCTAATTTTACTGAATTTTTTGCCCATATTACTTTTTCATTGCAACTTTACCTGTATGAGGATCCTTTAAGTAATACTCACTTCCAAAAGATGAGGCACCATTTCATCCAGAGTTTTTCCTAGATGCTTATCTGGATCTAAACCTGGAAAACAAAAACAAACAAACAAAAACCAAAGTGTCAACACATTTTTATAAAGTACTGTTAGAATATCAATAAGGACTTTTTTTGTTTTTTTTTCCCCCCAGGGAAAAAAAGAAAAAAAAAAAGAAACAAAACCAACAAACCAAAACCACACTTCATCAGAATTTTTCCTTCTTATCCTTTCTGGGCAACTGGTTTCCCTGTTTGTGGAAAAATAAGGCCTATTACCTTTCCGTTGCATGTCAACTATTGTTTTCCTTTCTTAGAAATTTCAATAACCAGTGAAGTAAACATGTATGTCCAGGCTAATAAAAATATTACATGGAACTATACCTCTCAGTCAGAAGTTACCTTTGTAAATACCTACTGAATTAAAATAACAAGTTAATTTTCATATAGTTCCTGGAAATTGCTGGAAGTGTCACAGATTGTATCCCACAGTAAAAACTTTTTTGCTAAATCATATTCTCTGTGTGTGACCCGCAGAAAAAGGTAAGAATTCAAAAGGATGAAGACATAAAGAAAACTCAGACTTACAGAATGTCTTGTACTTTCTGATCTATCACAAAATAGTCTGAATTATGTCTTCATTTTGATTCATTCTTCTTGGTAAAAAAGTATGCCCTACTAACACTTGATAATTCCTCTAACTTGTCCTTCTGTGTTCCCATTTCACCTTGTTGACTTTGACTTTTGCCAACTCATGGCTGTTAAATGGTCACTTCTCAGGAATAAATCAAATAATTGGCAGAAATTAGTACTGGGATAATATACATGCAGTAACAACTGTTTCAAAAGCTGACATCACCTTCAACCAAATAAATATCCCAGTTGGATTTCACACTGGGTGGTCAAAAGGTCTTAAGATACCACGTAAATGAGAAAAACCAAATGATAACTTCTGAAAGTGAAGGAACACTGGAAAAATTTCAGTGATCACATTTTGTACTACTCTGGATTCTTGTGGTTTGGGGTTTTTTTGCTCTGATTCCAATACTTGTCTATTTTTTCCTACTCTATTGCTTTATACAATAATGGGTATCATTAAAGAGCTGCCACCAGAATGATTCCATTTAGAAGCAATTTCTAAAGTATGTACCTTGCAAAGCACTTTAGATCATTGATGATGAAAGCTGTTATATAAATGTATGGTACACTATTACAGAAATTCGTTGCTGAGTTCAAATGATATGCCTTTTAATTTTTACAATGATTGTCTTGGTATATTTAAATTCCTGTGAAACTAAAACAAGTTAGAGTGAATAAGATCTCAAAACATTAAGAAAGTTTTTAAATATTTCATTAAAGCACATTAAAAATTCTCTTCCTATCTAAGGGAATACTTTAAAAATTATTAATTATTAAAGTGAAAGAGGACTGAGGTTTTTTCCTCCCTCTATTCTTTTTTGGTATTGGTTTATTGCTCCTTATTAGCAGACTAAAATGTATGTTGCTAGATGTAAGATAAGGGATACATTACAAACGTGAGAAGGGAAAAAGTTGTCAGAAACAGACACACTAATGTGCTATTTCTTCCACAATTTTTGATATTAATAAGGATGTACCTACTGTACTGTCCCCAATGAACACAAAATAATAATTTAAAAAATATTATAAAAATAATCTACAAAATACAAGTAACTGCCTATGCATACATTATGGCTAAACTCTTCAGTAATATTGCACCTACATGGAAATCTGAGAATACAATATACCCTTTCTGTTTCTCAGTAGAATTCTGTTTTTTGATAGCTTGTCTTCTTTTGAAAAATATTATTTCCTTTAGTTTCCAACAGATTTGTGTGGTTAATGAATAGAGACTCTGCTAAATAGATACTCTCATAAATACCAAGTGCAACCTGTAATTTGCAGAACCAGTAATCCGTATCTCAAATCTTTAATGCCATGCATGTATAGACTAAAATGTATGTCTACTGCTACTATTAGTGTAATAAAGTATCTATAACTATACCTACAAAACAGTTAATATGAATCTATACTTCTATTTTGTACATTTTTCTTTAAACCCCTGAGTAGATTGATTCGGGTTCTTGAAATGACTTAGACTAAAAACAAAAACAATGTATTGTTAATTGTTATTACATTCCATTTAACCACATCCTCCAGATCTTTCCTCCATGAAACTAGATGTGAAGAAAGCTGGATGGGTGGATAAATCAACAACAAGGTCCAAAGGCCTGGATGACTGTATGCAGAATTAAGAAATTAATTAGGAAGGGAACTATAATTTGCAGCACTGACATCTATCTTACTTAACTTGCATGTATCAATGGAAACCAATTACAATTCAATTAAAATATTCACTTTTATTACTTTACTGACTGACCTTGAAGTTAATGCCTGTTTTATTTAATTGCATCATCTATGAATAAATGTTAACCGTAGAATGTTATGCTCCATTATGTTCAATGCATTTTTTAACTCCCCAACTGAACTACATCAGTCAATTTATTATGTGCTGTCAAGAGAGCAAACGGAGCTTTGCTTCTTTAAGACAGACCGGTACATGATGACAGAAACATCTCAAAAGATTTGATAATACTTAACAGTGATCAGTAAAATAAATTGTGCTCTCAACTCCATTTTTGTGGCCTAGTTTTACTGTACAATCATAAGTGATAGCACAAATGGCATAATCACTTCCAAACAATTTTTACTCCATCCAAAATTCCTGATAAACCCACTGACAGGAGCAGATACTCTTTCCTGCAGTTACGCTCTGGGTTGCAGAGCCCTCGTATGCACAACCAGAAGACATGTGCTGTAGAGAACTCTAGCAATATCAAAAGAGATTCAGGACTTTGTCAGGGCTTTGTTCTGTAGTGAAAAAGATGCACCAAAGAACGTAACTAAAAGGCATTTCACTAGTGTTGAGTTACGCAAACGAAAATTATATTTAATGGTTCACTTCATACACATGTATTAGTGTAGCCCTCACCTGAGCGGTAACTACCTGATATTACTTGCATTTATCAAGAACATTAGAAAATCAAGTTCCATTTTCATGGAAAGGCATTCAGCTAATAAAATCCACATTCTAAAGCTTCATCTTACTAACAAAAACATGCCTTATACATGTTTAAAATTTTAAAATAGTCTTGATTTTTAAGAAAGTATTTTATTATAAAAATTTCTGGGTTTACGCCTTAGTAAAATACTGAATAAATGAAAATAAACCATAGCTACTGGCTTTAAGAAAGGGTGGTACATAAAGTACTTCTGAAAGCCACACTTAAAAGTTTCCTTCCTTCCTTCTCCTGACTTGAGAAGTATTGTTGAGAAGATTAGTATCCTTATACCATCATTATGACAGTCAGGGACTGAGGCTTAACTTCTGATGATGGAAGACAGTATAAAGCACAATAAGGTTTCTGGGAAGATCCCAATTAGCTGCTTACCAAAAGAAGAACTATTTAGATCTTTAAATAAGAAAAAAGGCAATGAAAGATTAAAGTTTTCTGGTACCAAATCTAGTCTGTTTCTCTTTCCAATTTCTTTTTTCAGGAAGAAAACGGCATAAGGAGGTGATGGGACTTCTAAGGTATAGAAATTCAGAAATTTTGAGGGAATGCACAAGAGTATAAAGGAGAGATGCAACCACCCATCTCAGAATGGGAACAGAGAAAGCAGGACTATTTCTGAAGGTAAAATCCTCTACTTTACTTAGAAAGAAAAATATACACATTTAAACAATACAAAATCACTGGTTTTCATGAAGCAGGATTCAACACTATTTCTTAAATTATGCAGAATCAAAAATAGCCCATGAAAAGCCTGTGCACAAAAGGATCAGTTGGTAAAGGAGGTTTACTCTGCAGGAACACAGGAATCTCAGATACTCTTCATGATGTAGAAGTATGCCTGCCACAGAGACATTAATGCAGTGTAAATTTACACCTTAAAAAGCCTTAAAGCAAACTATTCTTGGTGTCATATTTAGCTTTCATTTCTATGAAGAGCTAGGAAGTGAACTTTTTGCCTGTTAGCATAACTTGACAGGTTCATAGTTGATTCATAACTTTCACACATGAAAGGCTGTGTAACAATGGTGAACTCATCCAATTCCTTAAATTTCTTATTCCAAAACATAAAAAAAAACCAAACTGTAAAACCTGCTTAATTTTCATATAGAAATGAAGGAAAGTGCAAGACATAGGGGCTATTACTCCACCTCTAAAAGATTTTAGGTGAATATACTCCCATTTTATTGTATAAAAGAGCTAAATTTATGCAACACGATAATGAGTCTACTTTTTCTTTTTTTTTTTTTTTTTTGTATGAGGTAACATACATGTGGGAACTATACAGGGGTGGAATCTGAAGGTATAGTAACTCTTCTCAAGATAATTGGTAAAGCTATAAAACATTAATCCTGAAGCAGTTGTAGTATGTTTCTTTAGGATCACAGTTTATCTTCTTCCTCAGAAGTGCATCAAATATTTTCTAAACTAGGTTAGTCTGTTGTCATCAAATTTTAGAATACTAAGAGGTAAAAGGCTCTAAAACTATTCATACCAGCAATGTTATCTGTAAATTCTTGTGATTATTTTTTTTTTCAAACATCAATGTTATTTGCATTCCAGTTGCATCTAGGATTCAAAGCAACTTAGCTCTGCCCTTTCAGGAGCAGAAACCTCAGTAAGTCTTTGAAGAAATTTAGTATTGTTTCATCAAACAAGGCAATATTTTCACACAGATCCTTATGTTCATGGTTTAAAAAGATCATGAAATTGCTTAACAACAGCATTAAACTGCTTTTAATCAAATCCAAGACTATACAGCAAATGGTTCAGCTAACTGAAAATACTGCCTCAGTCAACTTCCTCTCAGGACTTTCAATAGACTTCAGAGACTTAAATGTTATTACAGGTTTGGTTCATATAGCCACGTATGTAGGGCTTTCACAACATAAATCTGTTTTCAGTGTTTTTAACTTGGGTTTACTGAAATATTTTGAGTAGAATTACTTTAGAGCATGATTTATTTATTAATCTATTTAATTAGAAAAGTTCAACCATTCCAGCATCATTAGCGATAGAAAAGGTACTGTTCTGTCCCTGTTAAAGAATTCTGGTATTTCCACACACAGTCCTAGTGCTATTAAGTTTTGAAGAAAAGAATTGAAATTAATTCAGTGACAGAGAATGAGGCCTGCTACAAGTGCTAAAATTTGTGTCACTCACTATGTTTATCCCCATGCAAACAAGTTACGTTTGTACAAGTACAATCCCCATTACAAAAAAGTCATGTTCCCAAAAGGATCAACAGAGACTTCTTACAGGGGAGTTCAGTAGCTCACCTGCAAAAGGGTAAAAACCAGAGTGGAAATAAAGAATGAAATTAGGACAGGAAGTCTCCTAAAACTTCAACTCAAAGAGACCTGGAAAGCAAGAATCCAGGTCTAACTGCATATCTGTTCTATACTACATAGATATACCTTTAAAAGTTTGAGTTTATGCTCTGTTTCAGCACAGAAGTCTGCACAGTGAATATGCATCCCTTATCAAGCATCTAATAATATTCTAGAATTAAAAAGACACCACTTCTAATTCTTGATTTTTCATTCTGTTATTTCTGGTTTTGACATCTCTTACTAAGCAATTTTTCTTCCATTAGTTTCCAGCTCCAAGTTCTCTAACTATTCTTCTGTCTCATTCACTAGAATCCTTACTTTCTTTCTTATTTCACTTTAAATGCCTGAAAGTCCATCCTTAGCCCGATGCATCCCTTTTGCTTTTCCTTTAGATGATCTGATCTCCCCAAACTGCAAAGCCATCTTTCCACTCCTAAGCCATCCCTCTCCAATTTTGTCTGACATCTTCTTAAGAAGCACTGCATTCAAGAACTTTCAATTGCTTTTCTGTATTCATGCACATTCACTTTCCCACTCTTCCTTCTAATTTCTCTCATTAGTTACTACTGAAAATATCAATGATCTTAAGGTCCTTTCCAACCCTAACTATTCTATGATTCTATGATTTTCCAAGAACACTGTTCCCTTCCATTGCACAGATGATGTGCTCAGACAAAACTTACACAACCACCAATTTTATCTCAGGATATGACCTGACATTAAAGCCAACGCAAATGAGTGGTAAGCTTTCTACTGAAAGTTTTGTCCTCCATATGGCCATGGCATTTACACAGTAAGTTCCCAGCACATACAAAAAAGTGGTGCTTCTCTGCTGACTCATCCAGCTACAGCTACATGATCACAGGACCTGCTATGAGGCAGAAGCAAGTAGAGACTTGTGGTTTGGAAGAGTCAAATAGAAGGGGGAAGGAAAACACGCATCGAAGAGGTTGATCTATCTGTAACACTAAATTACACCCTCAGGTGCGTAACAAGGAACTGTGTGGTGCTATTTTTTTTTTTTAAATGTACTACTTTATACGTAAATCTTATGCAAAAATTAATGGAAGTCTGACTATCAATTTCAGTCAGTCAGGATTTCACTTATGTACACTGCTGTTATGCAAATAATAAAAATAATGCAGATACCTAGGTAGTTAAGATTTAAATAATAAAGAAAAACTCCAGGTACCAATTTCATTATACTGAGAAGCAACATTCTAAGTTAACAGCTCATATACAAAAACATTCACTAAACTACCAGCTTTTCAGAGAATTCCATGTATAGCAGGAGTATACCAATCTTCTTGACCTTGTGAGGCAAGCATCAAGATCTTCTCACAGCAGAAGAAATTCAAATATACTTACTTCAGACATCTCATTTTAGAGAAGGAACATCAGGATTTGTTGACAGACAGGAAATGGCAATAGCTCCCTAAGAACTCATTACGCCGTTTTTGGAGGGAAATAGACTTGGTAAGCAATTAGGGCCCACACCATCTCAAAATTTAGGCTTTCATAGACCTTTTGATTTCAACTCTACCCATGGCTAACATGTACATTGTCTGGAATCATTCATTGTAGCTGGACCTAGAAAACACAGATGTGGCAACAGCACACAGATGTAGGCTGAGAACCACAAGCTAATCAGCCCTGATACAAAGTTCAGCTTTTATTATTGTTCAACAGCTGAACAGCCTTATGGTTATCATTTCTCCTGTGGCCCAAAGAACAGCTGGAAGTTAGAAACATAATTAAACATGAAAGAGGGTTTTTTTATTTCAAATTAGTATTTCTGTTGCCTGATATGATAATTACAATGTTTTTCTAGGGTATTAAATTTAATAATAAATCATTAAGTTGCTATAACCAAACTGGGAAGAAGCTGCAATGTATGAAGTAAATAATGCATATTAATCCCCTAAAAGATAGAAATTTGAGTTTATATTCTGATTTTGACTGAAGCATGGAAGAAGTAATTCACCCTCTCCCCTTCCGCCCATTATTTTCTCACACTAACAATGTGCACTTATAAAAACCTACCGGAGGTGAATGTTACTCTTAAAAGCTCAAGAAAAACTAGAATCACTGAGGACAATATGTTTTAACTGCATAACATAAAACCAATTTCAACTATGTTTTCTTATGAATGAGAACTGAAGTTTGTCATATTTTATAAGGTATATCGGCTGGTGCTTTAGTGCTAATTCTTAACAAGATTTAGGTATAGTTAAATATATAAGTAAACTAGATAAAAATCAATGCTCAGGTTTTACTGAGGTCCATACTGTGAGGAACTCAAAGACTGCTTCCAAATGTAACCTCCCTCCTCTCACTCCTACCTGAGTATTACACCTTATGCTGCAGTGGAAGAAATATGCATTGTAACAGCAGTACAAGTAAGACCAGTAAATGAAGTTACCAGATGAAAAGTTGAACCTGTTAAATGCATACTTTGCAAGTTAATTAGTATTTTAATCTATAAAATGTGTTAGGAGGCCAAGGATATAAAACCCACATTATTGTGTTATATTACACCATCTCTGTCATATTGCACAGTGCTATGATACACGTCTCACATGAGCAATGATATTACTGTAATTTCAGGCATGCACGTGTTAAATACAATCAACAACTGCTTCTATTTTAAGTATTATTGAGTAACCTTCCTGTGATTTTCTGGGAGTTCCACTGAAGAGGGGTATATTTCAAATATAAAAGTATTATTCATCATACAGGCAACTTTAGCAGCAAGAAAATGACACTGAAGATAAATATGCATAAGCAGCCTTTTTTTTTTTAAAAAAAATAGCTCAGGTTTGCTGCTAGATCACAGACTCATCATGAAAGCCTCTGAAATCTACTAAAGGAAAGCAAGCAGATTTACTTATAGATCAACAGAAGGCATGTGAAGAAGGCTTGCTAACAATACTTCTTCTGTGGGTAAAGTGAGAGCAATCGGTATCTCATCTGGAAAAGCACACTTCTCTGAGACAGAAAACTCTTGCCACTGGCAAAGTTTACGGTATTAATTTGTAATGGTGAATTTAGGGGAAATGTACTAAACTAATGCTCATTTACTTTCATAATTATGTGTTTTCTACATAAAATTACAGGCTTTTACCTTGTCAATACTGGCACTGAGTTAATGGAAAACAGTACAAGGTTGAGTGTAGAAGTATGCCAGTGCTGATGAATGTCAGGCTTAGGTTACAGATTTGCTTGTTGCATTAACATCTGTACAATGTACTATCTAATGCATTACTCTTCAGACTCTTAAATCTGCTATTTTAAATATTTCCTTGCAGTTTAGCTTTGATTATTAACCTAAGAGGCAAAAAGTTAAACTGTATCTTATCTTCTTTGCCACTTGATATGTTAAACAGCCTTCATACCTTAAATCCACTTTAATAAGGCATGCAATTATTAAAGCATTACAGAATGGCCCCAGAGCACAAAAGCTCCATTAAATTTGCTTACATCTAATTACGTCTGCCTGAGGCAGGTGAGAAATTGACTCTGATAAGATCTTTCTTTTACCTATAGCCAAAAAAATAAAAAGAAAAAAAAAACAACCTTGGAGTGATTTTCTATCTAATTGCTATCTACAAGTATTTATGGTATTCGCTCCTTCAATGAATAGCCCACAAAGCACTCTTTGTGCACTAACTATTGCATTTTAAGTTTTTTTAAGACTGTAAAATACAAAAGACAAGCTTATCTTGCTTCAGGCATAAGATAGGTCACCAATGATGTCTACTTGTGAAATAGTTTTATCTATTATTTAAATCATACATTTTCTTTAAAAAATAATTCTGATGTGAAAAAGCATGTTATATGTTCTTTGTGGCCTTATTTTTTCTTCATGTCAGCATAAGCAATGAAAGCATTTTATCTTATGGAAAAATAACAAAAATATTAAAATGTACTTTACTCAGCCTGAAAACTATATTTTTTTTTCAGTTCAAAATAAGAAAAAAAAAAAAAAAGTGCTTTATAGTAGAAAACACAGCATTCAACTCCTCTGTATTTATAACTGGCCTTCCAATTTCAGGAAAATGCTATTAAATTACACTGCTTGTTACCTACAAGTGAATGAGGGAATGTAATATTTCTAATCATCCTAGTCCCACTAGCAGCCCTAGCAGATCCTAGAGAACAGTACAGCAAGACCTTCACAGGAGTAATGTAAAAACTGGTTAGAAAGTATACCAGCTGAAGAGGAACAAATAAATAATAATTAAAAAAAATTAATGGGAAAAAAAAAGTCAGTGAATTCATTCAATCTAAAGGGATTATAATTCATTAATATTTAAGGAGAAATTACTGTGTTATAAAGCATTCCTTAAAGAAGACGGACACTAGGAATTTGATGTGAAAGTTGCCCAGATAAATCAGCCATCGGACTTCTAATGCAATATTACACAACTGTTTTTTTAAACATACATCTTTAAATCACTAATACCGCTGATGCTCTTGCATTATACCAGCCATTCTTTGGTACAATGGATTGCAAATATTTAGGCAACCAAAAAGAAAAGGTTCCTTGGTCACACTTTATGCTTAAGACCTCATTCAAAACTCTTGCATGAAAAGCTGCGTAGAGGCCCAAAATGAATATACATGTTTCTCATGCACTTCTTAGGATCATTCAGTAAGCCTTCCTATAAAACTTTATTTTACCATAGCTTTATATTCAAACACCAAACATTATCTTTCATGTTGTTTCATTATTCAAACCTCATTTTACGTATTTGACAATGAAAGGACATGTTGATTTTCTGGCCTACTAAACAACTACATCGTAAATACCTTTTTTTTTTTGAAGGCTATGATGAACTATTTCTGTTTGCTATATGCTTTACCAACTCAAAAGACTGTCATTACACAAAAAGTTTTGGTCTTATATAATTACATCTTGTTTGATGTTAATTTGCTGTATTTCTATGAAAAATTTTATGGTTGCTTTATAATAATTTCTAGCCACTAGTTCGCATCATCTATAAATGGCAATACTGTTAACCACTGAATTATGCATGCATCTTTACTGCAAATCAAACCCAAACTCAAACAAATACATTACAAGAGGAATGTAACAACCAGCCAGGAAGAATTACTTTCCAGTTTTTCGGTGTCTTCTCCAAGAATGAATTGCATACAGGCAAATCGATTAGTCAGACATTATGACTTACTCAGCTATTACTTTTCCAAGGTTTTTTTTTGGTGGATTTTTGTTTTGTGTTTTTGTGTTTTTTTTTTGGTGGGGGTTTTTTGGTTGTTTTTTGGTGGGTTGTTGTTTTTTTTCATATTAACATTTCATATCGTAAAATACAGACCAAAATTTCTTTTCTTCTGTTATGTTGTGGATTTGTCCATGGGAAGTTTCAGCAGACAATATTACACAGAAACTGAATACGTACCAAAAGCTGCCACTTTTATGATTATGGCTTGAATGTTAGATGATATCATTTCTTTAAGCAGTATTTCCTGGTTCCGACGCCAAAGGTAAGCTAAAGGCTGAAGATTAAGCCTTCTGCAACTTAAAAATAAACAAAAAAATGGATAACGCCAAGCATTATGCTTTTACACAGCATGATTCATAAAATGAAAGAAAATTAATTTCTCTCATTTCAGACCTTTAGATAATTTTTATTCTACAATTACTATTCCTAGATTTCAGTATAGACATTACATGTAATATAAGAAAAAAAATTGTTCTAACTATAAATTATCTATGTAAGTAAGATGTAACTCACTAGTGTAGACAGATTTGCATGGGAACATAAGTAAAACCATGAGAAAACCTTCAGGGATGCCAATCACTTAGTATCTTTGGAAGTGATTACTTTTTATGAAACAATCACAATGAAACATTGTGATGTCCTGTCAATCTTTTTGGTGGGGTAAAAGATCTGAAACTCACTATCAACAAAAGCAATATTTTCTAAAATACCTAGTAACATGGACAGTCATTAAATGTTTGAAGTGTAAAGCAAAAGAAGAAAGGAGCTATTTCAGACTACAATTTACCTAGGTAAAGTACACAAAGAAAACACCCATTCTGTGTAACCTGCTGATGTGTGTCAAGTTGGCACAGGATTAATTTCACCATTCTTACAGTTCATAAAGGATTCTATACATTTACTTCTATCACCACGTAACTAATGAACTCATGAAATTATAATTAATTTTTAACACAAGGTGGTTTTGTATTTCATGAGACATATAGTGAAAATTTTTTCAATACCCAAGTCAAATCTAGGCCTATATAACACAGACAATTCCCATTACATAATCCTTTTTTTTTTAAGACTCTCAAGAAGTATCACAATTCATCTATACTTAAAGAATGTGCACAGCAGAAATAACAAATGAAAGCTCCTGATTAATGATAACATATTTTAGATTTTATGGAAGTAAGGGAAGGTATAAGGATTTTCTTGCATTTAACGTGATAATAAGTCGCAGGATGTTCCTGTGTATTATAACACTCTGTTGAAAAACAGAGGTACTTGACCACAGCATTGGAATTGAGTGAGCTTTCTTAACTGAGATTTCAACTGAATTGTTGAAATCGGAGATCTGAACATATTCTACTATTTTCATTTCAAAACTCTAAGCATTTTCAACAGATCCATTAACAGACCTTTATAGCAATCAAAAAATCCAGTATTGTCTTTACTAGATTTTTAGTAATGAATACATGGCTCCATGAGGGTGAGGGGAAAGATACTTAGATTAACAAATTGAATAGATTAGGTGTCATAGAACATGAGAAAATAAGCAACTGTCTCTGGTCCAGAGTTTGAGTTAGAAAATAATCAAGAAACAAAAGCACTTTCCAGAATGTATATATTAATAAGGGTTAATATTTTCTTACACATCTTCAACTCGGACTCTCTGGTAGTCAGAAAGAATGGCTCCCACAGATACACCCTCCACTCCTTCTTTGTCCTGAAAAAGAGACACGGAATATTAATGACAGCAGTATATGCTGGCCTAAGCAATAGAGATTCAGAATCTCTACTAGCAGGATCAACCAAGAATAAATCTTTTTCCCCGTGTACAATATATGGAACTAAATGGGCTGGAATGCAGATCTTGAATGGATGAGAGCAGTGCAGCTGACCTACTACATGGTTATTACTCTAACACAATCATCTACTTGACTCATGTACCATTTTACAGAAGAAATAACCAGGGCAACTCAAAAGTACCGTATTTAACAGCTTATCCTGAAGTTTTCCTGACATACTGAAAATTACTTCCAGCTCTTCACTATAACTGAAGTGTTAGCTATCCCACCTACAAATAAATATTTATTTGTATAAATACAACTATGTACTTATTTAATTGTATTTACAATTATGAAGATTAATTAAACTATTAGCATTTGCCGTAATAGGCAGCACCAGAGGGTGTGAGATCAGGCTTTTTACCCTAACACCAGAAGAAGAAAACTCGCAGGCAACTTAACATCACTTTTTAAAAACTCTGCTAGAAGAAAGTTTTCCAAGACATACTTTCTCTTTAATTTCAATTACCTAAGCCAATAGCAGTTTATTTTTTTTTGTAAACAGTGAGAATATAAACATTTGAAAATGCACTGAGCTCTTGCATTTTTAAGTTGCTTGAGTCCCAATCAACATGCTGACCTTACTTTCTTTTCCTAAAATTTGCTCCAGCTAGATTTTAACCAAGTCTTTTAACTAAGGTTGACTATAACTACACAGCATGACTTAAACTTCTGGACCTGCTAAATAGACAGCAATCCTGGGAAGCTTGCAGCAAGATTTTAATGCAAAATTTTCAACTATATACCTATATATGAACTTCAAAATCAAACCAGTCTTTGCCTGCCATGGGTCTGAATTTAAAGTTCATTTTCAGTTTCTTATCAATAGAATGATGTGGAAGGTGTTTTATTCATAATTATATTGAAGGGAAAAATTTCCCAGTTTATGTCTGTCTGGAATATTCCTTCCTACATCTATTATCTTATTTTTCACATTAATTCTCACCTCATACTTGCCCAACCAAATTCCTAAGTTATTCACACCCATCTATACTTCTGATTTAAGAGCCACTTTATTTATCAAAATTCCTAGCTACAGTAATCTAAAAATGGTATCACTGTTCACAATTTATTTACTTCTACATGTCATTAATGGATATACCATTTAATATCAAACAACAGGAAAACATACAGGCTTCAGATTGATGCTTCTCCCATACCCAGAAGTAATAGTACTGATAAAAATTACTTTTAGATTATCTGTCACCTGTACATTATCCACTGCCAGCATTATCATTGCCACTACTATTATCCTGACAATATTATTTCTGCTTCTATTTCAGCTCTGTGCAACATTTCAAAGCTCTTTTCAGAATAAGGATAGATCCCAGACACTTCAATTTACTCAACTCAGCCATCTAGAATTACATTTCTTAAAAAGTTAACACAGTTATGTAAGTAGAGTTTTCTTTAAATAAATTTAATAAAATGATTCATGAAGCTTTCTTGTATCTTCAAGTACATCTAAAATGTTTTAAATGTATCCCTTTGTTTCATATAGTTTTGACATGCAGTTCATCTGTACTGCTACAATTGTGCTTAAGTTGCACTCTTCAAAGTTCTTTTTGGTTAACTCTAATAACATGACAGATCAGTCTTGTTTGCTTCTATTTTTATGCAAAAAAGAATAACCCTAACATCATCCAACATGTCCAGAAACATCATCTGTGTTTCTGCCTATATGAACAATTAAATCACAAGCAATATATCCTCAAAGGTAATAATCATGAAGTGGTCCATGCACCGGATCTGACATTACAAACCAATATTAACTCATTAAATATTGGCTGTTCATGTTTCCATGTCACCACACATCTTTGTGTGTGAAGGAATGAAGCAGCCTTTACTGCTAATATATTAGCCTCACACTAATATATTA